TGTTTGACCTGAGACGATCTCAAAAAACAGTGGTCAACAGTATTCCTTCTAAACGATAGATTCTATTACCCGTTGATCAATTCATGAAAGGTGTTGTTATAACCCTCCACAAAGCAAAAATTGAACGAGACTCATAAACTTCACATGCATTTACTCTTTGAGAGCTCCAGATGGCTCAGTGGTTAAGACGCGAACTTACTGACCGGAAGGTTTGTAACTGCTCATGTTGAGTCTTGGGCAACCTGGAAGTATCTTAGCTCTTGTTCTTCCTTCTGATGGCATAGCAGCTACACACCGAGAAAGTGCTACAACTGAACGATTATTATTTATCCTGCGGAAGTACAACGAATGACCCAATTGCAACACATAATGAGTGGTAGCTAAGAACCTCACAGCTGATCGATAGACACAAGCGAATTGCACTAAACGCGCCAGTTTATAACGAGATGATCAACGGTACCATTCAACCTGTGACTCAGGTTGGCGGAACCCACACTTCCAGAATCCTTACAATGATGACAAGAACAGTAGCAGACAACACTCCTGAAGAATGTAAAACAGTACATTGCAGAACAATTACAGACGCCAATCACAGACCATTTTTCAGGACCGAGGTTCGAGAAAGGGCCACCGAAAACATGTGTAATTGTTCAGATTTCAAAAGAACAAGCCATCTGCAGATGAACTTGGGTGATCATTTTCATCAGCACGGTGAAAGCGACATCCATTTCAATCGATTGTTACGCACGGAACCTAGTGATTCATATCCACACGAAACACAAACTACCTGGTTGCGTTTCCTGTGCGGCGAAAAGGCTGGAAAGATTTGACAGAAAATCCAGTCACGGACAAAGTCATTAACAAACATCGCGTCTCCAAGTTTGACACCATACTACAGGACTCTGGGGAATTTCAGGGCTGTATTCCATCACGCAGAGAGTGTATCAACTCAAATTATTCCTTATCGTTTTATGATTTCGTCATGTTGAACACACAGTACTCCAATTCTAGTCGTTTCAGAGCCACAAACTCGTGGTTATCCCTGGAAAACCCTAGTTTTTTTGTGAGTGCATCACAATGACAAGTTGTTTGTGTCTTCCTTTTCGTCTGTTAGCCGAGCCAGTCCAAATCTTTCTCGAAATGAATCGCACGTTGGTGAGTTCGTGGAAGGACTGGGCCCTGGGCAACTGGTCGGTCGGCAAGTCCTAGGAATGCCCTGTCTTGGTGAAATCCAGCTGAGCTTCTTCGATCGAAAAGGACACCTTGAGATCGAAGTGATTCGCGCTCGTGGACTACAACACAGAAACACCGCGAAGCCACTGCCTGCACCGTATGTGAAACTGCACCTTTTAGAGGGAAAGCAATCGGTCGAGAAGCTTCGTACAACCACTCCGCCCCGACGAACGTTAGATCCTCTATACCAACAGCAGTTAACCTTCTCGGTACCTTACCACGGAAAAATAATGCAGGTAAGAGGTAGATATATATTGGATTATCCTCAGTAACTAGACTGATGGATGCTATAGGCTCTCGAAACAGTTAGGCTACAACTTCCGACTCTTGAAGTTGTTCGTTTGTCCAGGGGTCACTCTTTAAAAGCTTCGTTATGGTTTAGAATTTTTGCCACACCAGTCCGTTGACCTCCAGTTCTACGGTAGGGTCTTCAAAACGTTCAAGCCATTCCTTTTCTTCGAATTGCTGAAAGTAGGCACAACCAGGTAGGGACCACTTTCTGTTTGGTCTCTCCCCTGTCCCAAACTTTTCCCCATGATTCTGCTGTTTCAATTGGTTGGACGAATTTAGTCAATCTGGCCCAGGAGGTTGGATTCGACTTGATCCTTTTTGGAAGAACTGGAACGTACGAAATTTCTTCAACAAAGGTTACTACAATCCTTTTGACCGCTTCGCTTAGGCGTTGCCCAAAGAAGGACGGCAGTTTTATAAGTGGATTAGAGAGAGAGGAAATATTTGCCAGTGCAGTGCAACCATTCTTAGTCAGAGTGCTTTAAGCATATAAACTCACTGTTCTAGTCTAGTCTATGCGGTTTCCCCATTGGGTAGCAGTTACCATATTCTCATACGTAGACCGTCACTTAGGTGTGTGTGTGTGTGTGTGTGAGTGAGTATGCTTGCTGTGATGTGAGCAATCGTGTCACTACGCGTCGAGTGAGGATTTTCATTTCGTAATGATTGGTTTGCCAGCCTACCAAAAGGTTGGATCCGCTTGCCTTAGTGAGATCATCGTCCAATCATCCTAATACGGCTGCGCATCAGCCTACTGCGCAGCGGAACAATCATGTGAAACAGCGCCGTGCGATTATACCCCCACGTCTGAATCACGTCCGATTTCATCATGTGCCGGAGAAAGGTCAAAAAGGGACACAGAAAGTTCACGCCCGCTCCATGGCCAAGACACCCCGTACACAAGCGCACAGGTGGCCATCTATGATCAACCGAGACAAAGGGACAACCGCCTGAGAACCGGTGTGGGCGTGTAGCAGACACTGGTTGTTTGACAGTGGATCGACCATCAAATACGGTCACAAGTGAATCATATATATAGAAGTTTGTAATTGCGTTAATACACAGTTCCTTCTGGTCGCCTTCTTGTCTTCTGACTATAACCCAGTAGCGTCAGGGCAGGTGAAGAGATACAACACATCCGCCTTCTGTTCTACCCCTGACTCGTTTTATTCACCGTACCTTCCGTTTCAGGTGAGCGTCTGGGGCGAATACGGTCGAATGGATAAAAAAGTCTTTCTTGGAATGTGTGAAGTCGTACTGGACGATTTGGACCTGAACTCGGTCGTATTCGGTTGGTACAAACTGTTCGGTATGATTGCATCAAGTGCACACCATCATCACCATCACCATCAGCGCCGAGAGGTCTCACAGGCTGACCCCTCTAGAGGATTCGTCGAGGAGCCAGAATCCTCTCGATCGAAAGAGCAGTCTTCTCCAAAAGGCCGTATATCATCTTTAGGTGGCCGGGGTCCAAAAAGCGCTCCGTACAGTGGCGACGGGACACGAGGAAAGTCAGCCGGAGGAAGTCGATCGTCAGGTGGAAAGAAGTCTAACGCGTCTTGACAGAAATCCCCACCTCCTCTACGTGTATATTTAAAAATCGATTGATTTTCTCGCCCATTGTGGGTTTATTTGCCAAGTAGTATTAGTTGCCCCACAGAGAAGTTGCAATATGAGAAAAGGGGCGCAGAATACACACACACACAACCCATATACTTACACAGAGAGAGCGAGAGAGAGAGATCCACCTTACTATTTTAGGTTCCTTTTTTGATAGAGACTTTGTATTTCGAGAAAATGCTGTGACGGGACTTTATTTTCAACGATATTTTCATTGTAGACTCTCACCTCACTCCCGCCAACTCCACCCACTCCCCCCCTCTGACACACACGTCGAACTAAGATAGACTTGTGGAATCAAGTTTTTGCGGCTTCCTTCTGACATTTACACACACACACACACAC